AGTAGAAAGTAGTGTTAAGCAAAATAGCAGCACTAATGTCAGCAACATCAATAACGAGTTTGACGATCCGTTGCTGGCCAACAGTCAGGATCCTTTTGACCTCTATGGCATAGTGGACTCAGATTTTAAGATATCGTATGACTTTCCCTCCAGTTGGGATAGTAGCCAAGTCGACTTTGCTACCTAGTCATTTTTTGCAACAGCATCTGGTGCTTATTTCTGCTTTTGACATATCTTTGTACTTACTCCTTACCATATAATACAAAATGTGAATGGGATTAATATGTTTAAATGGATGTCTGAACATGCGTATGATAGAGAATTAAATTTTATCTGTCACAGAAAGTCAGTGAATACTAAAATTGGTTAACTTTTATATAAAAATTTATGAATTCTCTGGTAGTACGCATTACTATGGTCGTTACTTTAATAGTATTATTGGATATTTTTAAACTACGCTTTATTTTCCAATGGTAAGAAAAGTTTGATAAAAAATCGAATCTGCTCATGGGCTGGAGCGTTAATTTAAAAATAATATATAGGGCCGAAGCATTCAATTTTTAGGAGTCTTGTCTGCTAAATAATATTAAAAAAAATTTTTTAAATAATAAAACCAATGTTACACGCTATTTAGTTGTTTTTTTGTTACTAACAATGTTCATGTTTGATTCATCAAATAAATTACGATGCAGTTTCAGAAAAGTCGTAAGCCGTCAAATCATTCCATTCACCTTATCTTTGAAAACAAAAAATTCCTTGCTGTATGTGATGAGGCAAAGATTTAACTTAGAAAATTTTTAGGATGTTAATTTCAGATATACACATTAATTATAATACATTTGAAGCACACCTTTTCTCAAGTTCGTACGGTTGAAAATAGGATATTGTACAACGCCAAACCATAGCTATAGAACGTCTGCAAGTTATAACATGTTACACATGGAAGTTTTACAAATGATATTTTAAAGCTTGCAGTGGTAAAATAATTATTTTTTTAGTTAAATAACATAGAAAGTGGGTGAGGTCATATCATTATACAGATTGAGCAATACTTTTTGCCACCGAACATGAGTAAACATGTAATTTTTGCAAGTGAGTGGTTATGTTTCGCAATATCATAAAATTTATACGACGACTTACTTATTTTTATTATATATGACAGCTATAATTTATGCATAATTTTTTAGTTGCCATACAAATTTCCTTGGAATGCTATCATACTCTGTCAAACATGTAATTAATTTTCACGGTTCGTAACAATTTAGAACCTGATGGCAAAAAGTTTTTTAACTAGTTTGTAAGCCAAAATTTATATTTATTTAAGTATTGTTTAGTGTAAAACGACTAAAATTCGTAGACTGCCTCATGATTGCTAGCGGTGGAGGATTAACCTCGCAGCACACTGAAAGTGGCAGCTTACCAAGTTCACGGAAAACTCCTAACATATTCATACATGCAAGCGCCGGTCAATTTATTTCTTACCTTCATCCATTTTCTCCTTTTGTTTTAGTCGGTACATTTAATCGCTCTCTCACTAACTCATTATGTTATCTCTCTATTCTCTCATTAGCTAGGCATTTCTCTCCTTCTTTATCATGGAACGATATCTCCATCTCTTTTGCTCTCATTAAGTGTCCCCGAGTCATAGGTCTCTCCCCCTCTCTTAATTGCTTACATCATTCTCTCTCTCTCTCTCTCTTTCATGCCTTTTCGCGTAAGGTGTAAGGGATTGATTGACGGGTCCTGACGACTACAGCAGGTGGGAGAATTAAAAGGGAAGGGGGGTCTCACTACGAAAAAAATAAGTTTTAGATAATTTAACCAGCACTGTTCGATACATAATCAAATAACGAAGAAATTACAGTTGGGTTTCTTTGCCATTTGGTATCCCTAAAAAATGTTTTAAACGAAATTCCAAGAAAAAATTTGGTCGATTTTCTCTATTTGTTCAATAACTAAAGAATTTAGCGCTATTACACCCTGAAACTATCTTTACATGTAGTCTAATCCTATCATGTAGCCATTTCATCCATTTTCGTCGTAGCCGCAGAAATTTTCTTATTATATGCTTCATCAACCTATATCTATGAGATGTAACAATAAACTTGCTTTTTATCTTTAGAATATTCTTTAATGTAAAAAACTTATAATTTAGTTCTTTGTACAAAGAGGCAAACATATTTTTTTTCTACTAAATGACTCACAAACAGTTATTAATTTTTTGTTTATTGACCTGCCCTCAACCTTACAGTATGGCTAGATGAAATTTTCAAAATTGATTTTAGTAAGGATATTAAACAACATATTGTTATAAGTACTCTAAAATAATTATAACTTCACATTATAAGATAAAAATGTATATATACAATAAGTTTATTGCAGTAATTTTTTTCAATTGTTGTTGTGTTCTTGTAGCTACTTATTATAAATCTATAAATTTTGTTTTATTTGATGGACACAAGTTTTGAATATAAATTCTTATAATTAAGGCTCATTTATAAATTTTTCAACTGTAGGTGAAAGGTCCTGCGAGTTTTATAAGCCTTGTGCGTGCTCTAGTAGTACTTCTTAGGTAACGTAGAAATTTTTCTTTTTTAGTATCTTATCATAAATATGTTAGTCTTACTTTACACATCTTTTTAATAGCTTTTTAAAAAATCACTCAATTGGTAAGATGGTAGAGAAGGGGCATACATTTTTAGGTGATCAGTTATCCCATGTTTTGCTGGAGAGCAACTAGAGACGCGTGGAGGAGCGTGGAGGAGCGTAGAGTGGCTCTTAACTATACAAGTAATCCTTTAAATATTTTTTTTTTGCATTTTTTAAAACATCTAGTGTGGTAGAAAGTGAAACTGCGTGCAGTAGCACAGGAAAAAGGAGGGTATACAACTTACTGTCCTGCATAATGTGCCTGTACAATACAGGAGATATAGATTTTACACATTTTTTTTATTACTGTTTCAAAACCACCAAGTAGGGAAGTATGTGGACGAGACCATAAGTGAGTGGCTTAAATTTGCTTGGGGACAGGAGGGATAGAGTGCTCTCGATTTTTTTTTACTAACATTAGGTATTGATTGCAATTTATGCTCAACACCTATATTTTTACTAATCCTCCTAATTATTTTAGCGATTTTCTAGGGTAATTACATGATTAAGAATATCAAAAAGTAATAAATAAAACTATTTATTAATGTTTTCATTAAAAACACTTTTTTCTTAATATATTTAAACAGGAGCTGGGCTTAGATCTGAGTACAATGTATCATTTAGATATGGAATGTGATGACATTGACGATGTGCCAATGGATATGGATGATTCTGACTGGCTAGAATCATTTGTGACTGCTCCCAATGGACCAGCTTCCTTGGTCAGCTCTTCTTCAAAGTCACCACCACCACCACCTCCACCATCATCACCGCTTACCACTACTGCGACGAAGATAAGGTCAACAGAACTGTTGTCTGCTGCAACAATGACAATGACGATGACAGCACCATTTTTAGTAGTCAATAATACTGTAAATCGCTTCTCACCTACCCAGTCAGTAGAAAGTAGTGTTAAGCAAAATAGCAGCACTAATGTCAGCAACATCAATAACGAGTTTGACGATCCGTTGCTGGCCAACAGTCAGGATCCTTTTGACCTCTATGGCATAGTGGACTCAGATTTTAAGATATCGTATGACTTTCCCTCCAGTTGGGATAGTAGCCAAGTCGACTTTGCTACCTAGTCATTTTTTGCAACAGCATCTGGTGCTTATTTCTGCTTTTGACATATCTTTGTACTTACTCCTTACCATATAATACAAAATGTGAATGGGATTAATATGTTTAAATGGATGTCTGAACATGCGTATGATAGAGAATTAAATTTTATCTGTCACAGAAAGTCAGTGAATACTAAAATTGGTTAACTTTTATATAAAAATTTATGAATTCTCTGGTAGTACGCATTACTATGGTCGTTACTTTAATAGTATTATTGGATATTTTTAAACTACGCTTTATTTTCCAATGGTAAGAAAAGTTTGATAAAAAATCGAATCTGCTCATGGGCTGGAGCGTTAATTTAAAAATAATATATAGGGCCGAAGCATTCAATTTTTAGGAGTCTTGTCTGCTAAATAATATTAAAAAAAATTTTTTAAATAATAAAACCAATGTTACACGCTATTTAGTTGTTTTTTTGTTACTAACAATGTTCATGTTTGATTCATCAAATAAATTACGATGCAGTTTCAGAAAAGTCGTAAGCCGTCAAATCATTCCATTCACCTTATCTTTGAAAACAAAAAATTCCTTGCTGTATGTGATGAGGCAAAGATTTAACTTAGAAAATTTTTAGGATGTTAATTTCAGATATACACATTAATTATAATACATTTGAAGCACACCTTTTCTCAAGTTCGTACGGTTGAAAATAGGATATTGTACAACGCCAAACCATAGCTATAGAACGTCTGCAAGTTATAACATGTTACACATGGAAGTTTTACAAATGATATTTTAAAGCTTGCAGTGGTAAAATAATTATTTTTTTAGTTAAATAACATAGAAAGTGGGTGAGGTCATATCATTATACAGATTGAGCAATACTTTTTGCCACCGAACATGAGTAAACATGTAATTTTTGCAAGTGAGTGGTTATGTTTCGCAATATCATAAAATTTATACGACGACTTACTTATTTTTATTATATATGACAGCTATAATTTATGCATAATTTTTTAGTTGCCATACAAATTTCCTTGGAATGCTATCATACTCTGTCAAACATGTAATTAATTTTCACGGTTCGTAACAATTTAGAACCTGATGGCAAAAAGTTTTTTAACTAGTTTGTAAGCCAAAATTTATATTTATTTAAGTATTGTTTAGTGTAAAACGACTAAAATTCGTAGACTGCCTCATGATTGCTAGCGGTGGAGGATTAACCTCGCAGCACACTGAAAGTGGCAGCTTACCAAGTTCACGGAAAACTCCTAACATATTCATACATGCAAGCGCCGGTCAATTTATTTCTTACCTTCATCCATTTTCTCCTTTTGTTTTAGTCGGTACATTTAATCGCTCTCTCACTAACTCATTATGTTATCTCTCTATTCTCTCATTAGCTAGGCATTTCTCTCCTTCTTTATCATGGAACGATATCTCCATCTCTTTTGCTCTCATTAAGTGTCCCCGAGTCATAGGTCTCTCCCCCTCTCTTAATTGCTTACATCATTCTCTCTCTCTCTCTCTCTTTCATGCCTTTTCGCGTAAGGTGTAAGGGATTGATTGACGGGTCCTGACGACTACAGCAGGTGGGAGAATTAAAAGGGAAGGGGGGTCTCACTACGAAAAAAATAAGTTTTAGATAATTTAACCAGCACTGTTCGATACATAATCAAATAACGAAGAAATTACAGTTGGGTTTCTTTGCCATTTGGTATCCCTAAAAAATGTTTTAAACGAAATTCCAAGAAAAAATTTGGTCGATTTTCTCTATTTGTTCAATAACTAAAGAATTTAGCGCTATTACACCCTGAAACTATCTTTACATGTAGTCTAATCCTATCATGTAGCCATTTCATCCATTTTCGTCGTAGCCGCAGAAATTTTCTTATTATATGCTTCATCAACCTATATCTATGAGATGTAACAATAAACTTGCTTTTTATCTTTAGAATATTCTTTAATGTAAAAAACTTATAATTTAGTTCTTTGTACAAAGAGGCAAACATATTTTTTTTCTACTAAATGACTCACAAACAGTTATTAATTTTTTGTTTATTGACCTGCCCTCAACCTTACAGTATGGCTAGATGAAATTTTCAAAATTGATTTTAGTAAGGATATTAAAAACTTTTATATGAAAAAGGAACAAAACTCTACTTTAATTTTGACCTCAATTTTTATAAAATTCAATTTCACAACATATACTAATTGATGTAACTCTGACGTTTTATATTTTACCGTGTTGCAATCAATTTTACTTCATAGAGTATATTTTTACACTAATTAAAAAAAAATTTCGATACCATGTTTTTAATAATAGGTACTAACAATTTAGTGTTTATTACTATTGTGTAGATTTGCAAAGTTGTTTGAACTTAAAGAGATCTTTTTCTACTTTTGCAGAATGCTTCTTATTGGTTTATGTAAGTTTTAAGTTTTGACATATAAAAACAATAATAAAAAAACTTATAATACTTCAAGACTTTACCGTGCTATATCGTTTTCCAAACCGTAAATTGCATGCATTTGGGCGTCTGCACACGAGTTAAAAAATTTACAATACACATAAAATTATTTTGGTATTAGTAAATACATTTTTTAAATAAAATTTATATAATGGTATAAAAATTTAATACAAATGTGTTGTATCATTTATTATATTATGTAAAATACATGTTTACATAAAAACGATGTTCAACATTTTTCGTACTTTCACTTGAAAATGTAGTCACTATCACTACTACTAATATCAGTTTTGCCTACGTATAGAATATAGTTTTAATTATCTTCTAGCTACCACGTTACCATCAGAGAATATAGAATATATCTACTTATATATCTCTTTATATATACATAAAGAGATATATTATATATTTATGTCAAAATTAACTGTTCTAACTGTCTCGTTACTTAACCTCTAAGTTCCTCCTACTGCGTATTCATCTTCATCTCTACTAATAGAAATCTTTTTTTTTTCTTGTAAGCATGACCAGTGCATAGAAGTGCATAAGAAGTCCTCAAAGTTTTAAGTCCATCCTCTTATAAAAGGTTTATTATATAATAGCAGAAAACAAATTTTGAACCCAATATGTAGGTAATCTGAGTTGATTATTCGGCATATGTACACATGTGTGTATGAAGGTCATCAAGTTTTTCGACTAACTCAAGAAATTTTGATTTAGGGCTAGTAATTACGAATTAGGTTACAAAGGCTAAGGTTTCACTAGTAACTTTAAATTAGATATCTCAGCTGATTGTGTAAATTTATACAAGTTTCATTAAATGGAAATATTATAACAATATTGTTAGTGTAATATTTTTAGACAAAAAAAAACTAGTTTTTAAGCGATAACAGTGAAAAATAATTGTAGATCATGTTAAAATATAACTTTTTTGTATCAAATATGTAGCTCCTAATTAAAATATAGATGTTCTACGATAAAAAGTAGTCGCGAAAACAGCACAAAACAATTTTTTTGCCTATTACAGATACACAGATACAAATTTAAATTCTCTAACAAAGTGTTTCATTCAAAATTTGTAGAGCCTGTTTACACAAAACTTTTTGTATTGTAAGTTTTTTTATACGTACTTTCTTAATAGTTGAGTCAACAATACTCGTTTTGAAAGGAAAAAACAAATTATCTTACAGCATTTAATTCTTGTACACGATATTTTAAAACAAAATGGTTAATATAAAAACGATGGATCTTCTGGAACTACACCTTTTTTGGTCTCTCGTACACCTTACCTCGTCTACCCACCCACTAACTTATACTCTCGCTCGCTCTCTCTCACTGTTTACGCTACTGTCTCTCTCTTTCTCTAGCCTCAGCTCCTGGCAAGCAACCTAAAATCACCTAGGAAAAACCTTCAGCTAAATTGGTTGAGTAGTTTTGACAGTTAGGGATAACAATAATTTTTGGGACTTTGTTTTGTATGTTAGTAAAATAATTGAGATTATAGCGCTCTTACTTAAAATTTAACCTTGTTCTTGCATTTAAATCATGTAGATACAATTAACACTTTTACAAGTCACTATCCAACTTAACAGTTTAGTATTGAACAAAGATAAAAAGCTCTTCGGGATAGCGTTCCAAGCTCTTAGGAAAAAAGGAGTGTAAGGAGTTCTTAGAAATAAGTTGAAAAATCAATATTGTTACTCACCTAATAAGAATTAAAGTTCTTTACATGATATTTGTTAGCGTTACGGACTCTTGGTTGTATTTTGCAGAGATTAAATGTACAAACTCGTGCGCCGATAGCACTGGTTTATCAGGATGAAAAAATTGAAAAAAAATCCTACGACATTTTTTTACCTTCGTCAAACGTATAATGTTTAAATTGGAACATTAAAATTCAATTGTATGCATTTAATGCATCATTAACTATTAAAATTTTACATTTGTCAGATTCCAGCCCTACAACTTTTACAGCATGCAAGTCTTACATACAAATTTTTTTTAGTCCTCTAAAATACGTAAAATAGTTTTTTACGTTAGTAACTTTGGAGTCCTATGACTCAGAAAAAATGAAAAGTCCGTATTTTTCCTCTAGGCGTCGTCAAAACAGCCCCTTTTTTGTATCGTAAACCAAAGAAATACTTTTAATGGTCTAAATTCTATTGTGCACTTGGCAGAAAATATCTTTTCGTTATGTAAAAAAGTTTCTAAATTGAAAATCTCCTTATATGACGTTGAGATTGACTGGGACACGAAATAAACCGTTTTCGGTAGAATCCGACCTAAATATGTATTTGGTGGTGGCTGTAGTAAGCTGTATTGGTGGAGATGGCATGGTTAAGCTTCAACAACTCGGGATAGTGATGTGGATACTGTTAATAAATAATTTTTCTTCGTGCATCCGAGAGTACACGAGGCAAAAAAAGTAACAAACTATTCATTTAGATACTATTTTCCAAACATCAAAATACGGCTGAATTTAATAGGTATCAAGTGCTAAGCCTCCTTACATATTGCGGTAAAAAAATACAGTGAATTGTTTTAACTGTACGCGCTGTAGGGTAAGTGTACCTATTTCCGTGGCGTATGTTAAGAAATCCAATGCACCATAAAATATTGAGTAATGACAAAATCCTATGGATTTTTTTCTTAAGTCTTGCATAAACTCTTAAAGATTATTTAAAAATTTTTTCGAGACTAAAAGTTGAATGGATTATTATTAAAATTAACAAAAATAGTATGCAGGTATTACCGTGGTCATGTACCTATTACCGTGTACATATTACCGTGGATGTCTCAATCACAGGCCTCACCACGGTCATACGTACACGACCGTCTAACATACTCTTGGTACCTAATACCGTGCATAAATATGATTTTCTCTATAAATTATTCATATAAATATTACATTTTTATCCTAATTTGAGCTATTCTTGGATATTAATATCAAATAATTTTTTTGCGACCGCTATTACACTTTTTCAAAAATTAAACAGCATTTTT